CCCCAAAACCCCAAAACCCCAAAACCCCAAAACCCCATTTTTATTATTATTATATTTATGAAGTCTGCTTTTATCGGATTGCTACTGACAGCAGCTGGAAGTTTATCAACCGCTTGTGGATGGGCCCTTCAGAAGCAAGGGTATAACATCGTTCAGAGGTCAGAAACAGCCGTTATGAAGAACCTCCACTGGTGGATTGGATTTATTCTCATTGCAATAACTCAGCCGCTCTATCTCGTCGGTATTTCGATGGTGAATCAGTCTACAATTGGTGTAGTTGGGCCAATTTCCATTATTGCAAATCTCCTTCTTGCAAAATTTTATCTAAAAGAAAACATCAGAAAATGGGAAGTAATAGGAGTTCTCCTCTTCATTCCTGGCTGAATCATCACTCTTCTGTCAGCCTCCATGAAGAACCAGAGGTATACCCAACAGGAATTCAACAAGGTTTTCTTTTCTTCTACTTCGATGGGTTATCTGGTCTCGAACATTTTCTGTATCTTGATTGGCTTACTTCTGTCATACTTCATCCTTGCCGCTCAAGAGAAATGTGAAATGGAAGAGGATCATGAAGCTGAGGACTCAGATACATCTGAAGACTCTCTTCTTAATCAAACAAGTGCCTCTCTCATGGCTGAGAAAGGGACTGTCACTTGAAGGAAATCTACAGATTTACCAGATGATATCTTAATCTTACCATCTAGTACTGAGAGCAAAGGGAATGATACTAGTTTCTTCAGCAGTCCAGGCTGGAAGATACTTCCGATGATCTGATTCCCATACTCTGCATGATTCAGCACTAGCTTGACAATGACACTTTCAAGATCTTTAAGTGGGTTCGCATTAACAGATGGTTCTGGAGGTTTCACCAACATCGAGCCATACATCTACATGGGATGTATAGGAGCTTGTGCAATTTTCTCCTACTACCTCCTGAACAAGGCTCTGAAATATTTTGATACAATGTACGTAGTGCCTTTGTTCAGAGCATTTGATCTATACCATAACATCCTAAGCGGAGGAGTCTTCCTTAGAGAATTCGGCCAGTATTCACCCAAACAGTTAGGTGTGTTTATCCTTGGAGTAACTATCTGAATAATTTCTATTCTCCTTCTTTTATGAGGTGAGAAAGGTAACAAACCAAAGGCCACCACTAAGTAAAATTTCAAAGATTTTTCACCGAATATGCTAACTAGGAAGTTCAATTATTTTTAAACCTAATGGGGTTTTGGGGTTTTGGGGTTTTGGGGTTTTGGGGTTTTGGGGTTTTGGGGTTTTGGGG